AAACAACCGATTGGATTGTTTAATCCAGACCGTGATTAATCGTAGAGTTAATGCGCGTAAAGTATGCGATACAACGAAATCTTTTCAGAAAATTTAGCACGGGTTACGCGCGTAACATTAACAATAAGATTAAATTCCAATTAAAGTCGATTTTCATCGTCGTTGATCGAAGTTGATCAAAGTTTTACTATGCAAGTAATTTTCAATTGTAATTTATAATTGCACATTAAAATCATTATGTGTATATATACATAGATTTAAAAATTTTTCTTAAAAATTCGTCGATATTCAATAATAATTCACGATTTCAATGGCTCGTCTGGAGCAATATTCGATACGAAATGGTTGCAACGAAAAATCTTTCCCATCAGAATCACGAACCTGTATTCTCTCGCCATTGCCAGGGAACGTCACGAAGCGTCTCGAAGGTGCAAGCACGGAACCGAAAAGCGTGGGCCGTGCCACGAACGCGGACGCAGCCCCGATATTAATCTCGTCGAACATCGTCGAAATGAATTCGTCAAATCGACCGACACGCGTCCGCGTGGGTGGTACGAGTCACGCGCAAGCGACGAAGTTGAAGGGGTGGACGCGCTCGGGACAACTCCGTAAAAATTACATTTCAACGAAAAACAAAAAAAAAAAAAAAAAAAAAGAAAAAGAAAAAGAAAAAGAAAAGAAAAAGAAATTGTAACGAGGGACAAAGTATTGTATGCGTACGCGCACGTTTAATTTATAAATTTTGTGCGTGTATGTAAATAGAGACAGAAAGAGAGCGAAAATTGGCCAGTGAATAGGAGGATATATACATATATACACAAATATACTCCGTCTGGCAACAACGAATTAAATACGAAAGAAATATAAATATCTGATGTCTCTTTGTTGTCCCCTATATAGAGTCGTTCTACGCGCGACACAGCGACAGACGAGAGTCGAGGCGCGTGCGGGAAACATATAGTAGAGATCGGATAGGACGGTATAGAACGAGCGAGAAATAAAAAAATATAAAATATATACGTATATGTGGAAGGCTAGTAAAACGAGATGCCTACACGATGGTTAACGGACGGAATATTGAGAGAGCGAGCAAACGAGATAAGAAAGAAAGAAAAAAAAAAAAAAAGAAAAGAAACGAGAAATGAGAAAGAAAGAGAGATGATAGAGTATGAGAGAAAATTGTTGAAAGAATTTTGAGGGCAAGTAACGGCGGGCGAGTGGGGACACTGAAGATGCCGGTCGAAAAAACGATCCCAGAAGTGTCCGAAAAGGTAAGGAAACCAGAAACCATAACCATCGAGAAAAAGCGAAATAATAGTCGAAAAAACTGTTGACGAGAGCGACGAGAGATGTCGCCTCGCACTGCCCGCTCTCTCACCCCGATCAAATACACACGGGAGTCGCACGAATTTTTTTCATCGTACGCGTACAAATTATATCGGCGATTAACGTGGTAACCACGTTATGTTCGTTTATTCGTTTATTGCGGTGGATGATATTTGCGCGTGGAATGGGGGTGGGAGGGGGAATTTTTTCTTTTTTTTTTTTTTTTTTTTTTTTTTTTTTTTTTTTTTTTTTTTTTTTTTTTTTTGCGGATTTCGTGCCCGAGCTTCTCGCGATTTTTGCGAACGATTATGCTACTATGGAGTGTTTATCGTAATGGCCGCCAGATGGCGACCGATGGCCACTCACCTCGGATAATCTGATTAAAAGTTTTTTGAAAAAAAAGTTAGTTAGCGGCGAATTGGCAACACGTTGCAGTAATAAAAAGTGGCAAAAAGCTTTTAGCTTCGTTAAAAGATCAAACCTTGCTCCCTGTAATTGCATAAAAATCAATGTTAAAATCAATGGTAAACTGTACCCGAGGCAGCCATATTGGAACAAAATGTGGAGTAGAACGTAGAGCGGGTAATATGATCAAATTTAAAATTGAGAAGGGAAATTAAATTCTGTATCCTTCAACAAACGAGTTGTAAACTATCTAATATTATATTAACTGTCGATTCGTTGGTCGATTGTTGCTGAAGAGGGCACGATGGATTAAATTTCCAATTGTACGTTTTTACTTCGATCGGATATCAGATTGTTACGAATGTTTCTCGATACGTTTTCTCGTATTTTTTTTTTTTTTTTTTTAACCAGCGAATCACGTAGAAAATAGATCCGCGAAAATAAAAGGGATTACGTTCGAACGGAGAAATTTGTCATTAAATTTACCTGTCAGGAAGCAAGCCAGAATCTAGCGTAAAATCCGAAAAACTCGGAACGACTATTTAATCTCCATTTTCCTCTCTTCCATTCGATTCTGCTCTTTTCTCTATTCTATCTTTTCGCTCTCGAAAAAAAAAAAAAAAAAGAAAAAAAGAAAAAAAGAAACGAATTTCCAACGAACCGTGCGAACGTCGTCTGATAAATCGTCCGACAGCCAAAAAATTTGGCAACGTTCGCAAAACTCTCGTAACTCTGGCACTACAAACATTTGCACGGATTTTTTTTGCTGCGTATTCTCGTAACTGCCCCTCCATGTTCCACGCTCGTACGATCAATTTTCGAAATATTCAAAAAAAAAAAAAAAAAAGAAAAAAAGAAAAAAAGAAACGAATTTCCAACGAACCGTTCGAACGTCGTCTGATAAATCGTCCGACAGCCAAAAAATTTGGCAACGTTCGCAAAACTCTCGTAACTCTGGCACGACAAACATTTGCACGGATTTTTTTTGCTGCGTATTCTCGTAACTACCCCTCCATGTTCCACGCTCGTACGATCAATTTTCGAAATATTCAAAAAAAAAAAAAAAAAAAAAAAAAAAAAAAAGAACATTTCTTTTTTTTTTTTTTTTTTTTTTCTTTTTTTTTCTTTCTTTTTTTTTTTTTTTTTTTTTTTTTTTTTTTTTTACCAATTTGCTTTCCGGTTTCACGCGACACTACGGATTTTTAATCTTTAAGCTAGATAAGTTATGACGGACGTTCGCACGAGTACTTTCGAAGCTGGTGAAATTATTCGAAACGAAATATATATATACACGCGAATTTAAAGCGTGAATTTTAATCATTAATTTAAGGATTTTTAGATATTTAATTTCAGGAAATTTTCGCGATAGGAAACATGGTGGATTCGTAAGTGGCACGAAATGAGAGAGGTAAAATTTTGACGTGCCGCCGCGACTAATGGTGTCGAAGAAAATGGCGGGGAAAATCAGTGGTGAGGATGAAAATGTCGGAGCGGGATAGAGCGCGTCAAATTAAACTTAACAAGTTTTAATGCCCAATTACGGAGTTACACCTACCTGGCTGGCTCTTATTTCTGTTGGCGTAATAAGCCACGGTAATTGAAATTTACGAGCGTGTTTTACGCGGGCCGGTTCGTAAACAGGGAAAAAGCGGTGTCCAGCCAGCGTTTGAGACGCGCTAATTCGACGAAGTAAGACGAATGAATTTTAAATTTTCTCGTAACACTCGTGTATATATATTCTGTCACCTATGCATTTAACTTTTCTTTATATTTTTTCCTTTCGATAAATTATTGGCAATGAAAATTTATTTTAGAAACTCTTTACGATGCGAGTAAAACATCCAAAAATATTACATGCGTATTTTTTCAAATACCTTAATTAAAATGGGTGATAAATTTGTCTTAGGAATTTGATAAATTCAGGGAAAAATATTAATATTTCGACTTGCATTTTATTTTCAAAAAAATTCAATTGATAAAGAAAATATTGGCAACAAAATTTGAATTCCTCGTTCTCTCTTAGAACTCTGTTCGTTCAATTTTTTTATTGAAAATAATACGATAAAAAGATTGCTTTATTTTGCGTATCATCGTTAAAACCATTACCGATTAAACGATATCCTTCTACCAAACGACAAAAAGTAAATAAACCGTGGAGGAGAGGGGGGGGGACGAGAATTCGAAACTCTGAAATTTCACTCGATTCCACGAAAAGGTACAACTTCATTAAAAAAAAAAAAAAAAAAAAGGAGAAAGATCTCCACGTATCCCCATCAAGCAAATATAAACCCAGTCGAGTAATTTCAACTTTTCCGGCAAATTAAAAACCTCCATTAACAAAATCACGAGATGTCCGCCGCCGCCAAACGAGGGTCAAATTCCAACCCCTTGCGTATTACATTCGCTCCAGGGATCCGGCAAAGCTTCGACGTGGAGTCTAACGAGAAGTTAAAGACCGAAATGGCCGAGGGTTAAAGGGAGGCCGAGCTCGACGTCGCATTGAAAAGGCGAGAGTCCAACGATGATCCTCCTCCTCCCCCTTCCTTTTTTTCCACCAGTGCGAGCTTTTTAATTACCGGAAGGATTAAGGGAGATTTCAAATTAGAACCGAGTTTTTTTGTCTTGCGAAAAAAGAAAAGAAGAGGAGAGAAAAGAAGAAGAAGAAGAAGAAGAAGAAGGGGAGGTAAAATGTTAATCCGCAAGCCGGAGTCGACTTGAGAATCTCACGATTCGTCGAAACTTTATCGTCCAACCGGATACGGTTCCTCTTTCAAAAGGAAACACGTGTTCTCTCTGTAATTACGTCGCTTGAGAAAGAAAAAGATATATCGTGGGACAGAGGAGAGAGGGAGAGGAGGGGAGGAAGGGGTCTCTGTCAGGGCAAAAAAAAAAAAAAAAAAAACCGTTCCAACGCATCGATGTCGAACGAATATCGCCTCGTTTTATTGGCCTCCTGCTTGCCAACCGGAGATTATATCGGTTTCCGGAAAAAGAGGTTTTGTTTCGGGCTGTTCGATTGTGACTTCGATGATTAAAGTTGGAAACGGTGGACGATTATTCGGATGAAAGAGGAATGAAGAAATTGGAATGGATGGGGAGTTTTATGGTTTTTCTAAATTTGAAATTTAGAGAACCATTTGGCAATATTTCGATGGGCAATATTGTCCGAGGCTTTTTTTCTTCTTTTAAGAAAAATGTTGAAATAATTAAAACAGAAATTGAAAATGATAATTTCCCTTAAATTATAACAGTTTTTCGAACTAACAATTTTAAGCCTGTTTTAAATTACACGAGAGGATTATTTCTCTCTTGTCAAATTTAAAATTTGAAACAGCGAGAAATAAATCAAAAGTAGGAGAGATTAAACTCAAGAGATCGTTTGTAATTCGAACCCTTCCCCCTCAAAAAATTAATAACCAGATAAACCAGACGAAACAATCCATTTTCAACGAATTAAAATTTGAGATTAAACTCTAAGAGCGAGCAATTTGACTGAGATATCACAGCTCGTGATTCGATCATCGAATTATATATCGCGACCATCCAAACCAAGTGCCATCCTGGAGTGCCACTCTTACATATTTCATCCTTCAACGACAATGTTTTCCAGCGGGAACATTCAAATATTTTGCCGGCTGCTCAAACATTATCTTTTCGTATTTACCCGGTGATCCCTCCGTGCCATCCGACTAGTCCACGAGCAGAAGAGAGAGAATCAACCGACATGGGAGCCGCTAATAACGCCGCTTTAATTACCCTCGAACCAGGCCAAGAGGATCGAGGGAATTTCCTGGGAGACCCGTGTTTCCACGTTAAATCGTATATCTCGATCCTAATCGAAGAAATTACACGTAATACACCGAGGATTGGGGATATCGAATCAATTCTAATACAAACGTATCCCAACTTCGTTCCCAATCTCTCTAATTATATCCAGCTTGTTGGGATAGAAGGATAGAACGATTGGAGATACGATTCGAAGGAAAGAGAATCCTTCCTCCAAGAAAGTTCCTCCCGTACGTGTTGGAGAAGAATCAATCATCCAAAACGTTTATTTTTATTCGATGAAAAATAACTTGGACAGGATTCAAGAATTCTTTTTAAAAGAATTGTATATTTGAAAGAGGGTGACCGATAGAAAAGATACGAAAAGTTTGAAATTTTTAGAGAAGCATCGATCTCGAAGAGAATGGAAGAATTCTTATTTTCTCGATGATAAAGCATCCTTCTCGGGGAAAGAGGAATTTCGATTTGTTCCCGATAAGATCCAGAGTCAATGATATTTAATAAATCTTTGCTTGATAAACCGTGACATACCTTCCTCCACGACAGAAATACGATCTTTCTTCGGACGATATTCAATAGATTCCGTTCGATACGTCAAAAGGTGACCAAAGAACGAGCCTCTACTACCTTTTTCTCTCTCTCCTATATACAATCGACATACTCGTCGCAAGAGTCGAATCTCTTCCTCAAATTCGACAGATCCTTTGAACAGATTCAAGAGAATCGTGGCCAGTATCTTTCCCTCCTCCCCAAAGAAATAAAAAAAAAAGGATCTCTCCTTGAAACGACGCTCGATAGAAGTTTCGAACTGCAGAACTGCGAAGTTCGATCTTTGCTCACCTTGGTAACGAGTGAAAACACAATGCTCGATGGCTACAAAGGCCGTTCGTTAAGATAATGGGCCAGTGAATGGGGATAGGGAGGGGTGTCGCGAGACCGCGCTCGTGTTTCAACCCCCGCCTTCCCCTCCTCATTCGTCGTTCGTTCAAAGCTCCATTCATGGGAGGGGCGAAAGGGGGGAGTTTAAACTGGTTTAAGCACCGGCGGTAGTTAGCGAGCGGCCCGATACTCTTCGATTATCGAAGGTCTTTCGGCCTCGTTAGCGGGCTTCAATTTTGCACGCTCCCGCTGCGAGCATTGTTGATCGCCCCTCTGGGGGAAAGGGTGCAACGAAAGGGTTTGTTCGCGGAGATCGAAGGCGCGGAGGTGGTGGCAACTCTCCCTTTATTCCTTTTTTCTTTTCTTCTCTCGATGAGAATGAGATTTTTCGATAATTTTTCTACGATGTTTTTTTCATTTAGAAAGAGGTTTTTCTTTTTTTTTTCTTCTTCTTTTTAAAAGTGTCTGTTTCGGAAAGTTTTCGAAACATTTAGAAATGGTACGATCATTTTCGATGGACGTTCGAGGAAAACTGGGTTATTCGTGCGAAACTCTCGCGTGAACTTTTAGATAATCTGTGATATTGATTCGGCAACCTTTGCGCCGAATTTCAAATTCAATGCTTTTCGTAAGGGTCAACATTTGTCTTTCGTCACTTTCGTGCACTTGCAGTGTGGAATTTCCAATTGGAAAATAATATTACCAGCGAAATATCGATCGAAATCGATCTCCAAGTAATTTTGAAGCAAGCGGAGGATATTTCGTCGTCGCAAAACATCCGAAATCGGTTTCACGTCGCAATAAACGATTTAGGATCTCGAGTCGAGTTTAGTGAGAAGTCATCATGCAAGGATTTCGTCGATAAGAAAGGGTTGAAAAACAGAGAAACGAATAATTATTTTATATGGACAAATTAATCCTCCCAAAAAGATTCTTGTACTGAGAGAAAGAATCATCGAAAGCATATTTCTTCCGCTCGAACGATCAAAAGAAAAATAAATCTCTACTTGATGCTTCATTAACACTGGAGAAAAAATAAATCAAAAGATGGAAAAAAATAAAATCGTGATAATTTCCAAAACTCTTCAAATTTACTTTCAACAATACGCCATTTAAAATCGAAGAAGATAATATTGATTTATCGATGAATACCAAAAGTATTTGTGAAACGTCAAAAGATGTAACAAAATTCAAAAACTATTATATATATATATATATATACATTCGTATATAGAAATGGAAAGCTGGCTATCTGAAAAACTCTTTTACACCTTTTACATTTCTTGATAGAAAACCACCACTCTTCTCCATAGGATAGAAAATCCTCGTGACGCGTGCATTCACGGTCACTCTCATTGAAGTACGTTAAATACGATGGCAAATAACGTTAGCAAAAAAGGAAACGCATTTGCACATCCCCTATAGAAACGCCACATCCAACCACCCAATTCGTTATTCCAACGAGTCCTCCAAACGCTTCGATTCCACCCTTCGAACTTCGAAAACTCACCGAAAAGCCACCATCCGTGGAAACTCGCCCACACATCCCCTCCTCCCCCTTGAATCAATAGCCAAATCACGAGCCAAATCGTGGCAAGAAGACCAGGTGAAAAGGGTAGCAGGCCACGACGAGGGTCGAAGGTGAGCGAAGAACGAAAACAAACTCTTGTTCCGCCGGAACTGTGGCATTCCGGAAAGCAGGAAGTACGACCCAGTGGTGTCGTCGTAGCTCATGCACGGCCTGCACGTCGGTGCATAACGACAGGTGGCTCGAATTTTCGAGCTTAGCAAGTCAAATTTATGCAGATACCGGGAAGGGAACAAGGTTGCTCGATATGCCCGAAGCTGTGTGACGTTTGTCCGGCCAACATCTTGTACCATCACGCGACCGCCATCCCATCATCGATACCGATATGTAGATAGAATTCTCGAGGGTTGGCAGGTTCGAAGAGTGGCGGCCATTAATTCGGTCGAGCGCGTGTCTCTTTTATCCTTTTATTTCTTCTCTGTGCCCTTCGATGATGAATCGAGGCTTGGATTCCTCCCTTCTTTCTTATTTCTTTTTCGTGAAGTATAGAAGGGGTGGCCACTTGCGAGAAAGCGAGAGATCGGGAGACATCTGGCGGATCAAAAGTGTCTGTTCATATCTGCGAGATATTCGTTACAATGCAGACGTTCTTTCGCATTCTAGCCCTTTTAGAAGAAGAAAGTTATTCAAATTAAAACGGAGAAATGTTTGGATCGATTTAACCAAGAGGTTTCCAACAGGAGGTTGCAAGAGAATATCGTGAACAAGCGTTATAAATTACAGCGAGGACGGCAAAGCTTAGTTAATGAAAATGCCTATCGATCAATCTACGATCAATCCGACCTATGCCCTTTTACACGTCTCCAATTAAAAAGTAGACGCCGTCCAATATCGATCGCATCAAATAAGCCTCTCAAATAAGCGTTTCCTCATATTTGAATAAAAATTGAATCAAAATTTCTATTCGTGGGCACAACCAGCCTCTCCCTCCCTTCCATCCTCATCAAGAAGAAGAAGGGGATGTGTGTCATTCGGTAGAAGGACAGGCGCGTAGATCGAAAAATCGATGGCCGAGCTGCGTTCCAGGCCAAATCTTAACGAGCCACAATTTACAATGGGCCGAGATTTACTTACTTCCTGCATTTCAATTCAGATCGCGGTGATACCGAGGCCCGGATCGGCCGGAAATCGTGGATCGTTCGTGTCGGCCACCGTGTCACGAAACTTCGTGTATGTGCCGTCTATTATCGTCCCCCTTCTCTCTCTTTCCCTCTTTCCATTTACCAGACATCGAGATTATTTTTTTTCTTTTCTTTTCTTTCTTTTTTTTTTTTGCAATTATACTCGAAGACGAGAGATGGCCGGCGTGGCTTGGATGTCAATCGAAGATCCCCGGTTACAATGGTTAATCGGATCGATATCGTCGTCCAACGGCTCTGTCCACGAAATTGAATCGAGAATCTGCTCGAGTTAATAGCGGATAAAGGCTTGACTATCCGGGCCCCGGTAGTTGATAGTTGGGGAAGTCTTTGCGGAGGGCGTGGGAGGGGAAGAGGGAGAGGGTCGATGATCGAGGACGGCGGAGGACGGCACTGCGAGTCTAGGCACCTGACTCTGGTCGACGTCATTTTATCTGTCGGCAAACGAGGCGCTGATGGATTTATTGGTGTTTGCACGCGCAAATAGAGGTAAGCCTGGGCCGACGATAGAGATAATATTGTAACAACCGCGGAACAGGTTCTGGATCTGATAGGGGAAAATCGGCGGCGATGGATGAATGGATGGCTTTGATGCACAGGGTGTAGGGTGTTTCTGCCTGAGATTTCAATAGGCTCGTGTATTTCAATAGATTCGTGTTGGAATTCGATTGCGTGTAAGGATTAGAGAGAGAGAGAGAAAGAATTTGAATTTGCGTTCTAAGGATTCTTCTTTCGGTGAAAAGAATATCGAAAGATTGGATAAAAATTAGAC